ATTTTAGGAACATTTTTTTACTCTTAGCGTTACTCAGAGACTACGGCGTGGACGTGGTAAAATTCTGTCTCCTTTGGGGTGCTTTTTTCCCGTGAGTCCCCTTGCCTCTCACGTCTCGGGGTGCTTGTTTTCCGTGAGTCCCCTTGCCTCTCACGTCTCGGGGTGATTGTTTTTCGTGAGTCCCCTTGCCTCTCACGTCTCGGGGTGCTTGTTTTCCGTGAGTCCCCTTGCCTCTCACTTATTCATACTTTTAGCTGTGCTTTTTTAGCCAACATTTATTGCAAATATTTAAATTACATGTTTTGCAGAAAATTTTTGTTCTTATTGGACAGTTTCCATTCGAACAAATCCTCAATTTGTCACTATTAGATCGTTCATGTGCTTTACTTTTGCGACTACTTTTTTGTAAGTAGTATTTGGCAATCGAAATAGTGAACTCTTTTATTCCAACTTTTTTCTTTCCATCGTTAGCAGCATTGAAAATTACAAGAGAATTAGTAATAGACGCCTGTATAAGTCTCATAAAAACTACCCATGTCCATTTTTTTGATCGTATAATTGGGAGTATGTCATTGCAATGTCCGTCATGCAGGTCAACATCTCCCATGAATTTGTTATATAGGTGAAAAGCTTGCGGAAAAGGTATTTCAATTTTAGATTTAGCCTCTGCGCTGTATCTTTTTGAAATAGATAGAGGATTGACACCTGCTGCAGTTGAAGCTATTGAGACGGGCTTCGAATCCATGATAGTAATGAAATTTATGCCACTGTTTACGTCGTGCTTCACCACATATGTCCCTCTTGGAGCTTTCTTATCAAGCACATTTTTTTCTTTGACTCGATTATCTCTGATAGTACCAGTGCATTTCAAACGCAATTTCTTCAAATGTAATACCAAATCCATATTCGTGAAGAAGTTGTCAAAGTACAGATGAAATTGAGAAATTTTGTTATAACTTATTATTTGAAAAAATGTTTGTAATAAATATAATACTACTCGTGAACCTAAAGCACATTTAGATAACTTATCTCCAATTTGAGAATTCTTGCCGCAATAAAGATCCAAATTCAGTAGATAGCCGTCCGAAGTACACAAGCCCCAAAATTTCAAACCAAATCTTATCGGTTTTCCTCGAATAAATTGTTTCAAAACAGTTTTTGAATAGGATTTGGCCATCATCTCATCAACGGATAGAGCAGTTCTCCATATTCCGAATTTCATGATGTTATTTTGAAAAAGTTTCAGTAGAGAACGAACGCGCCATCCTCGATCATTTGAATCTTTGTCTTTGTTTTTTGAAAACTTCAATTTAGATTTTGTGATTTCAAATTGTTGGCGAGACATTGCAGAAGAAACTACTTCATTAGATAAATACGGATCAGATGACCAGTAATCTCTCTGTGATTTTCTGGGATTGAATGTAGAAAAAATAACTATTCCAATAAAAGTATCAAGATCTTTCAATTTCAGATCATAACCATTGTCTTTACACGCATCAATAATATATTTTTTCATTTCAATAGAAAAAAAGATTTCAAACAATTGAAAAGGTTCGCTCCTATGTATTTTCTTTTTTTGCGATTCGGACAATAATACTTTATCTTCACAAGAATCAGGGTGTAACTTTTCACCCTCAATCCAAGTGAATTCATGACCTTTTTCAAGTTTATCTTGTTTTTCAGAATAATTTGCACGAGCTTTATTGTAAGTGGTATTGGGTATTTCATGTTCGCAATCTGAATCAAAATCGGAACCAGAATCATCGGAACCTGAATAGTCAGGATCCGGAATCAATACGTTGAGTTCTGAATCACTATCTGAAGAATCTGATTCATATTCAGAAGATCTTACACGTTTCCGCGACATAATGTATGAAATTAATGATTTCGTTTATTTATCACTCATCCGTATGTACAAAAACACGAAAGAAGAGAACAAAAAAAGACGAATATTCATGAATACATGAGACCAAAAATTACGCTTATCTGCCGAAATGAAATGGAAATAAAGGATGAAATTTTTGTCGGAATCTATAAGTCTTTGAAAAAAGAATGAAAATAAGTTAGAATCATTCGAGCAATATTAAAATTTTTTCCGAGTTTTCGTAGACAGAACGTTTTTTTACCAATAGGTTTTCAAAACATCGGCCGAAACGAATTTTTATTTTTTCGACTTTATCAATTTTTTTCTCGAAATCTATGGACTTTAGAGAAAAATTCATAAAAACAAAAATGTCTCAGAATCACTCGAGGAACATTCTCAAATTTTTTCAGAATTTTTTAAGACAATTTTTGATTTTCCGGGAAACTTGGGAAATGGGATTTTCAAAAATGTCTCAAAAAATTCTGAAAAAATTTGACAATATTCCTCAAGCGATTCTAAGGCATTTTTATTCTTATGAATTTTTTTCTAAAGTCCATAGATTTTGAGAAAAAAATTGATGAAGATTGAAAAAAAAAAATTCGTTTTTTCCGCCATTTTGTAAAGAAGCGATGGTTCAAGGTAAACAAAAAAATTCCCTGTTAAACTTCAAATCCCATGATCACCTTTGATCACGGTCGCAAGGTGATATCTTCACCGTAACACTTCGAAAAAAAATCCTAAAAATTTTTTTTTTCGAAAATTTAGGTGTTTTTTATGTTTCAATCGAGCATATCTCTTTTCCTGTGAGTTTTATCATGATTCTGGCAACGGATTCTGAAAGAGCATGCAATTTTGCATCAGAATATGTGGTTCAAGAATTTTTTCAACGCCAATTACATAGGAAAAAATCACTTTGAAAACGTGCAAGAAATTTTGACATTTTGGACGTTAATGGGTTAATTAACACCGAAAAGTCAAAAGCAATGCAACAGGACAATAACATGTCTTTGCAGAATGCAATTTTAAATTGGATCAGCAAATATAGGGAGTTGATACCTGCTCAAAAGGATGACGAATGGGACCATATTTATAACGTGATCAATACAGACGATCGATTGATATCAGACGTGTCTAGCTGGGTCATCCGTGAAATAATCAAGTCCAACGAGTGCGAAAATTGCAATCTGTATTTGGAGTCGTTCTCCAGTGATGCTGCACGCCATCAACTTATACAAATGCTAGAGAGAGTTTTGGTGGCTTAATTAAGTCTAGCGACAATGTTTTTGAATTAATTAAGATGGTTGAAAATTGTATGACCTTTATAATTGAGTGTAATAATGGCATGACTAGAGATAGTATGCAGTTCATTGTTCAAAAAATAATAAAAACGAACTCTCTAGCGTTTGTTGGTTGTGCAGATCATGTAATTTGGTTGTGCAGATCATATAATAAAATTAACATACAAATTCATAATTTACTATTTAGAAAGACGAATGAAAGTGGCGTGCAAGAGACACAATATTGTCCATGATGTGCAAAAATATTAAAATCTAAAGAACTACGCAAACAGTCAAAATATTAATTTCAGTTTTTATATTCATTATTTAATTGTTTATATTAAATATATGCGGGAACATCATCATCAATCAAACCCCACACATAATACCTCATCTAAACGTAGAATTTCTCGTTATTTCAAAATTCGGAATCAAAAATAGGGGTTCCTATGCAAAAAATCACTGTGACCTTCAAATGACCTTGAAAATCATTCTAAGTGTGTGTGCGTGTGTGTAACAGTCTCACTTAAACAAACTGCTAAAACTTTTTTGAAAAATTTAGTTATTATATATATACATTTTTTTTTTCAAGATAGGAAATTCTACGTTATTTACTCAACTTTGAAAATGTACATTTACGAACAAAATAGCAAGACTTTTTTATCGTAAAACAGTATTCATTTTCTATCAAATTAATTTATCCCTTTTTATAAAAAAGTTATTCGCGTGCGGGTTATCTTCGTCACCTACAGTACCATGGTCGATAATATGGAGACTGTATACGTCTCCATGGTCGATAAGCTGGGCTCATATTGTAAGTCTTTTAGTAGTTCACTAACTACCGCACGCAGCGCTAAAATCGGCTAATTACTTTGGGACTGTGACTTTGCCGAACGCTTTAACACGGGCGGTATAGGCCTGCCTCGCCTTCTGTATACAGTCTCCATGATCAATTCTCTATAATTTGCACCTTCCTTACCCTAGCCTGCAAAGTGTAATGGACAGTAAAAATAAAAAATACCATTCGAAACATCTCTAATTGAACCCTCCAAAAATGCTCATTATTTTAATTGAACCCCTTCAGTTGTCCCAAAAAAAATTAAAAACTATGATAATTTTTTCGTTTTTTGTAACTGCGATATCTTTAGTAATACTTAATATTTTTGTAAAAGAAACAAGGCAAAAAATTGAACCTTTGCTAGTTTTAATTGCTCACTCGCACTTTTTCAAAATTATTAATATATATGTCAAAAACAACAATCTAACTTTATTGTATGTTCTTTTCAAATAGATTATTAGGTTATTGGGTTATTTGGAAAGAACATACAATAAAGTTAGATTGTTGTTTTTGACATATATATTAATAATTTTGAAAAAGTGAGAGGGGTGCAATTAAAACGAGCAAAGGTTCAATTTTTTGCCTTGTTTCTTTTACAAAAATATTAAGTATTACTAAAGATATCGCAGTTACAAAAAACGAAAAAATTATCATAGTTTTTAATTTTTTTTGGGACAACTGAAGGGGTTCAATTAAAATAATGAGCATTTTTGGAAGGTTCAATTAGAGATGTTTCGAATGGTATTTTTTATTTTTACTGTCCATTATACTTTGCAGGCTAGGGTAAGGGAGGTCAGTTTTAAACAACAGTTACTTTTGCTCACTACCGGTAGTGTTGGTACTAAATAATCGAACTACCTAGTTTTAGTGATGTTACTAGAGTTGCGATTCGCGTCCGTATCCGTCCGCATTCATACTATGGGACCGGGGCCTTAAAGCTTCCGTGACGGTGTGACCACTGGTTTTCTTGCCTTGACACTTTGAATATTCAAAAGGATTTTTAATGCTTGTATCAAAAATACCATCCGGAAATTCTTTCAAAATTAAAAGTGATGAAAAAATGTTTAGGTGATATTTTTGAAAATATTTTTGAAAACAATATTTCAACAATTTTATTTGCTCGATTGATGGAGCTGTCTTATGATTTGAACGATAATTGAATGCGACCAATATTACGCATGCGCCTTGCATCGCATATCAATGTTATTGTTGACAATCAGTGGCTCTGCTTGGAGGCTGTTTGCGACAAATATCTTTATACAAATCATGTACAACTGGTACGTTTCTGTCGGTTCTAAAACAACATATTAAGACTGTTTTGAAAGTACAAAGTATCTTGTAACAAATGTAGATGTCGTGTTGCAAATTTAACTAATAAATAAAAATAATCTTGGTTACGTGCTTGTTAAGCGTTATTTAATTGTTTTATTGTAAAAAGGTAAAGAGCGTCAACGTAAAACTTGTTTATCATGTTAAAAACTGTTTGGGCCTCGGATCAACAATTGTACTACAATCATATCTCGCTTAAAATGTTCAATTGCAGTATATCAATGAAGTGGTAGATGTTTTTATCTTAAAAAGTAGTTTAACTAATTGTATATATTTATCTTAAAAAGTAAAGTTTAACTAATTGAATAATTGAATTAAAAAGACATGAGTGACTCGATGTGCAAAAAGTGTATGGAGGGAGATGGTGCTATTGCAAGTGTAATTAAGCAAGAAAATACTACAGTGGTAGTAAATCCTTCTTCAGCTTCTGTGCCTATTCCCAATATCTCTGGAGGACACAGAGGCGAACGATCACTTTATGAGCAATTTTCACCTTCACCCTTAACAAATTCAGCTATCTGGGTTTGTAGCAGTGGCAGTCTGGACAGCACTGGAAGTTTATGTGGTCGGCATCCAAATGAAGTTCTTGTTGGTACCGATATCAACAGCATGAAGTTGGAGCTTGCTGAACCACTTGAGCCTTTGCTTTCATTTGGGATGGATGATGATGACATTTTTCAGGTAGATAAAGCTGATTTAATCCAAGGTCCAACACTTGCTGAGCTTAATGCCAATGAAGATACGCTCCTTGGTGATCTTAATTTTGATGATTTGCTTCTGCCTGATGAAAATATGCAGCCATTACGACCAAACTCTGATAATCAGTCTCATCAGCTACTCCACTCAAGTACTCAGCAGTCACATCAACAACAGTGCAGTTCCTCTATGTTGTTTGGTCAAAGTTCAAGCCCTTGTCCTTTTGGAAGCAGCAGTTTTCCAGTAACTGTGCAACCAACACTTGGTTGGGGGAATCGTAATGATCAGATACAAGCAAGTCCATTACCTGCTGTTTGTTTCTCACAATTCAACAATGTGAATATCAGCTGTCATCATGACCCAGCAGAGGTTGTAGGCACATCTAGTTTTCCAAGCCCTATAGGCTCCAACATTGCAGGTATTTTATAAAATGACACAAAAATAATTTGTACTTTCTTTAGTTTAATTTTCATTCCATTTTGATAATCATACCTTTAGTGTAATGAACTATCAAACAATTATTTTTTAGCATTACGAATAGTTAAGTCTTGACTTGGTGGTCAAGGCTTATAGTATATTTTATGATTCTATTTGATTGATAATCTAATCTTATATTTTCCTTACTGATTTATTTTATGATTGATATTTTTTATCTATTTGTTAATTGATGTAGTAATAACATCAGGACTTACCTGGTTTATGCATTTCTTGGTGGATTGGTTATTTGTTGTCTCAGTAGTTGACTGCACTCTTTCAGTGAGGTTGACTAAGTTGATAACAATCATACACATACACTCAATTTCAGAAAATTAATATGATAATTATTAGATTTCAAAATAACAATTAGCAATCAATTCTTAATCAGTGCAATACAATTTTGAAGTGATACAAATTTAACAGATATAAATTGAATATAATGTTAATTCGAAATAATATAAATTCAAAATAATACAAACTCAATGTTAAAGGTAAGATATCAAGGCTGTACAAGAATTCAGAAGAGCTAGTTCAGCTGTCGCGTGTCGCGAATTGAAACAACTGCCAATAAACCAAATGCTTTGATTTATTGATCTACTTAAACTTTTGCTGAGTTCGATTGATTGCTGAACTGTGGTAAACTCAAATTGTGTCTCAGGACATAACACCTCCATGGCCAGATCATTCAAATCTGTACGATAACAACGTAAAAAAATTACAAATACAAAATAAAGGTTTTCATCAATTAACTGATTACATTAAATTGTAAGTGATACTGTTAAAATAAAATTTTTTTTTATATTAAAATTGCGCAATAACAAATTTTTGTTACAATATTTTTGGTTTATATTCATTTGCTTACCTACTGTTAGTCCCCTATTAACCGCCTATCTTATTATTTTATTAATGTAGTAAATTACAAAGACTTATTAAATAGTAGATATACATTCGAGGAGTCATTTATAAAATTCTTTATAAAATTGTTGTTGCTGCATTGAGTATAAAATTGATTTTAGTTTTACTTTGCAATTATAAAATGAATAGTGAAATATTTTCTCAATGCAAACAGAAAAATAATTAACCATATTATTACTCTCAATCATATTAAATTGTGAAATTATAAAGCAAAGAAATATTAGAGTGACACCCTATACTATAAACAAAAACTATATCAACTCAATTTATTTTCGACACAGTTTCGATGGTTTGTCTTCCATTCTCATTGGAATGAGTTTGAAGTTCAGAACGTTCATGGTGAACGAAAAAATCAAAAATTGAAATAAAAGTTTATTTCACGATAAATAGCCTCAGGGTACTCCCAAAGTAACGTATACATAAAGGAAACTCGCTACGACAATTACACCCCCTACAACAACCCTTAAATCGGTACGCTTATACCGTAACATAGGGCAAGTAACTTTCAAAATATATTACATTATTCAAGAAAATTTTTAGAAAAATCGAGTTTTTTTCAAATTAATATCCGTTAGACTCCACAGCGCAATAATCGTCTACCCTTAAAATCCTGAAACTACCCCCACGGAGCATTTTCACACTCATATAGATAGTTAATATAAGTTTTCACTTGTGATTCCTTATTAGGGAAAAATTTTGAAATCATTATAATTTTATAATTAAGCTAATATTATAGGGCATCGTCAATTCAATTTTCGCTTTTCGGAACGTATATCTTCAAACCCTAACGCGCTTCAGTAGATAAGCAATGTATGTTCTGGGACACAAAGGAGCCGACAAAGGATGCCGCCAATGTATAAGGATACGTGTATGTTCTGGGACATAAAGGAGCCGCCCGATGAAGGTGTGAAGGTAGTGACACCTTTTAATTTATGGTCAGACCCCATGGTGAGTGTCTAAAAGGCATTTGATGTACCTTTGACACCTTCCGCGTGCCAGTGGGCCCCATGCTGAATGTTAAGGGGCATTTGATGTTGGTTTGACACCTCCCGCTGAGTACCTAAAAGGTAATCGATGTAGCTTATGCATTGAAGATGCGCCGCCAATGCATAAGGTATATGCGTATGTCCTGAGACAGAAGCCAGTGGGCCCTTCGACAGTGCCCCCCCCCCCATTCACCCACTTTCCCACCCACCTACAGAGGTTGTTAAGGTAGGTTGCTATAGAAGTCGTTGCTAAGAGTCTAAAGCATAACCGATGTTCCTTTTTAAATGAAGATGCGTTCTAGTAGCGTGCACTATCCTTTTTCAGGGCCACACATATAATTTAGGAAACTTTCGACCACCCACACGAGCTTGCACTTTCTCCAATAACGCTTTACCTCATGCTGAGGGTTAAAACGCATTCGATGTTTCTTTTTCAATGAAGATGCGATCGAAAGTATGTACGCAGCAGGTGATTGGAGATAGAGTAATCTTAATGACGTCTGTTAGTCATTTTATTGCTTTTTTTTGCCTTAGAGATAAGGTTTTTGAGTTAGCCTTGTTTAGTTGCGTTAACATCCTCCAACATACCCTTGTACCTTTTTTTCTTTTGAAGTTATCTTATATCTTAATTACGAATCACATACTGAGCAACTAAAACTAAATTTATTACCTCTTCCGTTTAAAAACAATACTTTCATTATTTTTGAATGGAGCTTCGAGAGTAGGAAACTTTTGGGAGAAACGAAATAGTAGCAGTAGCAGTAGCAGTGGCAGTGGCAGTGGCAGTGGCAGTGGCAGTGGCAGTGGCAGTGGCAGTGGCAGTGGCAGTAGCAGTAGCAGTAGCAGTAGCAGTAGCAGTAGCAGTAGCAGTAGCAGTAGCAGTAGCAGTAGCAGTAGCAGTAGCAGTAGCAGTAGCAGTAGCAGTAGCAGTAGCAGTAGCAGTAGCAGTAGATTTTATTAGATGGAAAAATATAATAATTACCGCTTTGCATTCTCTTGAAGAATATATGTTACGGCCTAACTTAAGTAGAGCAATACGACAGAGATGTCAAGCATGCGCTACTCATTTGAATTCAATCGAAATTAATTTAAATAATTCCATAAAAGTCGGAGGAAATGTTAATTCATTACGAGTCATTCCAAACCAAATTGAAGGGGACGGAGTTATTTGGCGTGAAATAAATTCAGCATTTGAAAAACGTATCATTACTGCATTCATAGCCAATCAAGAATATAGAGATATAAAGTCATTCTTAAAAGCAGCAAATAAATTATTACAACTACAAATACCAAAATATCTTTCAATTCATAATGCTCTAAAAATAAATATAGAAATGTCAGCTTAATTTACCGTAATAAAAGATAATGTAGAGGACATTCAAGTAAAGTATTTCAACACCGAAAATGTTTCTATTTATAAAACGACAGATCTTAAATTATGGTTTACAGAAAATATTGAAGATGTTACACTTAAAAATTTAGAAGAATTTCAAGAAAAAGATTCCGGTTGGACATTAAAAACTATCATCGGTATTACTGTTAATATAAATAAATTTAATCCTTTCAAACCTGGCTCATATATTCAACTACCAAAATAAATAGCAGATAAAAAAGCAATTATCAACGTTCAAAATACAGATAATGAATGTTTTAAATGGGCTGTGCTTGCCTGTCTTCATCCAGCTAGATTTCATAGCGAAAGAGTTCAAAATTATATGCCCTTTGCGAATGAATTGAAATTCGATGATATAAACTTTCCTGTTGAGGTAAAGAATATTCCTAAATTTGAAAAATTAAATAGTATTTCAATAAATCTATACATACTAAAAAAATACGGTTTTAAATTCGAAGTCTCACCATATTATATATCAACTTTAAAACAAGATAAGCATGTAAATCTTTTGTTACTACAAAGCGATTATATCGATGAGAATGAAACAGAAAAATCTAATAGATCAAATAACAGTGATAATTTCAAATTAAAATTCCACTATGTATGGATTAAAAACTTATCTGCTCTTGTTAGAAGTCAAGTAACGAAACATACTGCACAAATTTATCTCTGTGAACGCTGTCTTCACTATTTTAATAATAAAGAAAAATTGAATATTCATGAGACAGATTGTTCAAAATTAAATAAATATAGAGTTAATCTACCTAATTTTCCTCTTCTGAAATTTATTCATTATGATCGAAAAGAAATGGTTCCGTTTATTATCTATACTGATTTAGAGTGCTTATTGAAACCAGTAAATAACGGACGATCCTTCCAAGATCATGAAGCCTTTAGTGTAGGGCTTTATATAAAATGTAGTTATGATGATTCCAAATCAGTTTTTAAGATGTATAGAAAAAAACTGAATGAAGAACAATCACCCGCACAATGGATTATCAAACAATTTCAGATTTTGTTAGATGAAATGAATCAAATGTATAAGAATGCAATAGAAATGAATCTTTCATGGCGTAATCAAATGGATTTCAAGATGAGCAAAATGTGTCATATTTGTAGAAAATATTTTCAACCTGATGAAACAAGAGTTAGAGATCATTGTCATTTGACGGGTCGATTTAGAGGTGCTGCTCACGCATCCTATAATTTAAATTATAAGAATCCTTATTTTATACCAGTTGTCTTCCATAACCTTACTGGATATGATTCTCATTTTATAATAAAAGAAATAGCTACTAGCTCTGATCTTGAGGGAAATGTGACTGTTTTAGCTGAAAACAAGGAAAGATATATAGCTTTCACAAAACACGTGGACGGTAGTACTATAAATTTTCGATTTATTGATTCGTTTCGTTTTATGCCATCATCTCTCGAAAAACTGTCTTCATACTTAACCAAACTAAATATCGTAGAGCATGAATTCAAGATAGATAAATATACAAAAACACAAATAGAATTATTGAAGAGAAAAGGCGTTTTTCCATATGAGTATGTTAACAGTTTTGAAAGATTAAAACAGACTTAATTACCACCTATCGAAGATTTTCATAGTCAATTGATAGATAGCAACATCTCTGAAACTGACTA